AATTAGCAGAAAGAATCAACAAGTGGGATCTCATCTTATTGAAAATCTTCTGCACTGCAAAAGAAACAATCAACAGAACTAAGAGACAACCTATAATGTGGGAAAAACTTTTTACCAGCTACTCCTCAGGCAAAGGACTATTATCTAGAATATATATAAAGAACTCAAAACAACCAGCCCCCACCCCCAAATATAAAGACCCAATTCAAAAACGGGCACCTGCAATGAACAGACATTTCTCAAAGAAATAAAAGCAGCAAGTAAATATATGAAAAAATGTTCCACATCACTGGTCATTCAAGAGATGCAGATGAAAACAACACTGAGATTCCAACTCACCCCAGAAAGAATGGCTGCTATCAAGAAATCACACAATAACAAATGTTGGCGGGGTTGTGGGGAAAAGGAACCCTCCTCCATTGTTGGTGGGAGTGCAGACTGGTGCAACCACTGTGGAAATCAATATGGAGATACCTCAAAGAACTAGGATTAGAGGTTCCATTTGACCCAGCCATCCCTCTGTTGGGTATCTTTCCAAAAGAATTTAAAGTGAAAGGTTTATTGAGCTCACAGTTTGTAGAGATTTCAGCCTGTAATTGGCTGGCTCCAAGGCAGGGGGCACATGGCAGAGGGACATTACAGAGGAGAAACTGCACCGTGGGAGGAAGGTAACAAAACATTAAAGGGCAAGCAAGCTCTTTTCTGCCGCTTATATCTTATCCAGGCCAGTCAGGGCAGGTAGCACTCACACTCTTACTCCTAGTGCCCTTGAGCTTACGAGGGCACCGCGAATCAACCCCAGCATTGCACGTGCCAAATCCAGCCACCTCCGAAAATGCCCCACATCGGACTACATGAAGCTGTGCAGAGACATCTACACAGAAGCCATAACAAAGAGCCTGACTACAGTGCTAGGTTCTAATTGTACATCCTACTGTTTTTAACTTAGGAATCTAAATTTACAATTATCTTGGCTATCAATAAGCAAAATTCATTGTAAAATTCTAAGACTGAATAACTGTGAATATGAGACCCTTATTCCATCACTGCAAGATAAACCTTATTTACTGAGTACCCACAGAGAGCTGAAGTTACAAAGGTGATGTTGTCGTGTGTATATCCTAGCTACTATCCTACCCAGCTTCTTACAGAAGTTGACAAGCAGGTCACCAAATTTATATCGCAGTTCAAGAGACTCACAATGCCAACAGCCAAAACAGTCTTGGAAAAGAAGTAAGTTGGTTTATTCACATTTCCAAATGTCAAAACTTACTACAAAGCTACAATTATCAAGACGGCATGATAGAATCACGAGGATAGATACCCTTCAGGGAACTATGATTGAGATCTGGAAATAAATCCTTAGAATTAGGGACAATTGTCTTAAACAAATTACCAAGATAATTCTGTGAGGAAAGAACGGTGTGTCACACCAATGGTGCTAATACAATAGGATATATCCATGCAAAAGAATGCAGGTGTACCCAAACTCTGACTTCATGCAACATACAAAGATTAATTTAGGTCACAGAGTATAGTAACTGTCATAACCTCAGCTATTCTGCAATCCAGTGCTAGATCCAGCAGCAAAAGCAAATTTATTTGCTCATTCGCATAATCAATACTAGCAATTTATTAACACATGATTCAAGGATGTTGGCAGAAAGAGGGCTTATGTGGAGATACTTATTTAGATTTTAAAACAGTTTGAAAAATTAAAGCCTATATCTAAAGCCTAGTGTCAACCCTCTTCTTTTCCAGATGTGTTGGCAGAAATAACCAGACATATAGAATTGCAAGGTCCCCAGCTTGCTTAGGGTGTCCAAAGAAATCAAAGAACTCTGGAAACCATTACTGTCCAGGAAACAGTGCTGTCTTGGAAAGCCTCCTCGCCTGGGCCATCTCTCTGAAGTAGGCACGGTGGTGGGGCCAGCTGTCTTGCATGTTCAGTAGGAGCTGGAAGACGCTATTTAAAGAAAAATGATCAAGGTCCACCGGCCAACATTCCAGTTTCTAAGGAAAATTTTGCAATTCCACGGACATTTGTACATTCCTATCACTGAGCAGATCAGCTCACACAACAAGGAAAATCTTGAGATGGATGCCGAGTAGACAGGAATGGCCAGAAGGCATGAGAAAGACAAGGGTAACTTTTTTTTTTTTTTTTTTTTTGGTACCAGGATCAAACTTGGGACCTTGTGCTTGTGAGGCAGGCAGCAGAAGCACTGAGCCAAATCCCCAGCCGAAGAGTAATTTTATAAGAGTTCTGAGGAGAAAGCACTCTCCACCTAGCAGGTACGATCTGAGATGCCTTAAGGCAAACAAGCAACATGAGCTGACCCTAAGAGGGTAAGGATATTGGCAAGTGGGGATGGGAGAAAAGGATAATTGGATGAAGGTGCATCCTAGAAGAAAGGTGTGCAAGCAGAAGTCCATGTCCCTGGCCCTGTTTGAAGAGAAAGGGCCTCTTCTGTTTGGTGGGCACTTTAGCACATGTAAGGTTGGGAGAGAACAGGCAAAGCCATGGGAGGTGAGCATCAGGACCGCTGCGTTTCCTTCCTGTTGCTGCATCACGGATGGGATAACCTAACAGCTTCATACACGCTCTGCCGTTATTCCGCAGATCCTGAGGGTCAGGAATTCCGGGACAGTTGAGTTAAGCTTCAACTGAGTATCCATGAGGTTTCTATACGTCTTGGCTGCAGACATCTCAGGATTGTCTGGAGCGTCTCAACTCCACTTCTAAACTCAGTGGCTATTAGCCAAAGACCTAAGCTCTTCTCCATGTGGGTCTCCATGGAAGGTGATTTCCCTTGGAGACAAGAGAGACAGATAGGCATCGGCAAAGCTGTACTGACTTTTGTAACCCAGTCTTGCAAATGACATAACACTGCTCCTGTCTGTCACCGACCAAACCTTTTACAATGTGGGAGGCACCACACAAGGGTGCAAGCATCAAGGAGTCCGGATCTGTGGGGCCTTCCTAGAATTTAACTCCTATAGCCACCACTTCAGTAATGCAGATGAGACCCTGCACATTTCTAAGGATATCATTCATATTATAATTATCACAGAAGAATCTCTGAGCAATACAGAATATGAACAGAGAAACTAAACTTTATACCTCACAGGACTGATTGACATCTAAACATATATATTTGATGACTGATGGAATGAGTTGAAAAATTAGGATGAAAGCTGGAAAGGAAATGGAGGTCTGTCTGAGAACTAATAAAGCCTCTGCCAGAAAGGAGGTCTTGGGGTAAGGTAGAAGGAGCAGATGCTCCAACCAGTAGCACAACTGCTGAAACAACAGAACTTGGTGTCCTCTCTGACTAAATCAAGCAGAGGTCTGATGACATCTTCATACTTTCAGCAAACATTGAAGCACCCACTATATGTTGGATACGTTGCTAGGGATTAGGGGTAGGAATTACTGACAGCCAGGAGCTCCTATTCTACTTGGGGAAAAAGATAAATAAGCAGAAATTTATAATTCTGTGTGATCAATACATCAGAGGGAACAGAAGAGAGCATGTATTGCAGACCAGGAACTTGGTGAGTTTGTCCTGCTAATGGGTGGGGAGTTCCAAACAGACAAAGCATTTTACTGAGCCAAGAAGATAAGGTTATGAAGGAGAGTGGAGTATTTGCTCAGAAATCCAGAGCTTAAAGGAAAAAAAAAAAAGTCCAGTTAGCAGACAGGTATGTTTCTACGTGGGTATGGCGCATAAGCCTAAAAATGAGGCAAAATTGAAGGTCAGATGTGCCCCATGTTATAACTTAAGGAGTCTGTGTTCTATTCTAAATGTATTGAACAAGATGATTACAGCACAGACTTAATATTGTAGAAAGAGCTCTCAAGTCATGCAGAAGCTATGTTTGAGGGAATGAAGAAAGACCATAAAGCCATTATAGTCTAGGTGAAAAGTCACTAAGGTCTATATAAAGGTTGCTATTGTGTGGCTAGAGAGAAGGGGACGCTTTAAAGAGATATCTCTGAAGTACAATTGACAGTCATTCTACTGACTGAAAATGAGCCATGAGAAGCCTAGGGTGACCCTGACTAGCTTCAGTGTCTCACACGTGAGCAGATAACACAGGCAGGGAAGGAGTGTTTCAGTTGAAAGTGGTACATTTGCAAAGACCATCATAGTTCACTTGAACACACACACATAGTCTTGGAGGTCGGAAGAGAGAGACCCAAGCTGGACAGGCAGACTCAGGAGCCATTCGAGTGTGTCTGAGTTTGGATGCACTCCTCCGTGCGGTTGTGACTGTCACATGGAAGGAAAAAATGTGACAGCTGAGGGACACTACCCAACTGAAGGAAGGAGGGTTGGGTCTGAGACTGAGAGATTTGGAGAGATGGAAAGAGCGACAGATACGTTAAAGAGAAATGTGTGCTGAGAACCGAGACTGTATAGACAGAAGGCAGAGATAGTGCTAAATTTTTCCAACAGCCAAGATGTTTGCTGGGCTCAGCCTCTGGGCTGTCTTTGACCAGATTGGCCAAAGCACATTCAGGTCTAGGTACAGAAGATCACAGAAGACTAGCAACAGGGCTGTTTACAAATGAACAGTGAACAAAATGAGGAGGTGGAAGAAAGGAAACAGAAGATTGTGTAGCTAAAGAGTCATGTGGATTTGCTGAAAATGTGAGCAGAAACTACAGAAGGGGTAACCTACGAAGCAGTGTCCCCGGGAAGTGAGAAGAACTAACACTCGTAGTCTTACATGGGGAGACTGGATGAAGCGTGGGCCAAAAGCTGCAAGAATTCCTAACCTAAGAAAAGGGTTTATTTGTGAATGAGCTGCTGGGATAGGTTCCGAAAGTTCCAAAATAACTAGTTCGCAGAAGTGAGAAGGACATGTCTAGAGCCAGACACTTGGAAAAAAGATGATGGAGTGGAACTGAGGGACCATCTAAGCATCTGAATTTATTAGAGCACTAATAAAGGTAATGACTTGGTATTTACTGAGTGCTTCCTGTGTTCTAGGTGCTGTGGGTGCTGACGATTCACTAAAATTGAACAAAAGAGATTCAAACAAACAAGCTGACAACAGTCTTCGAGATATGCACAAGATACAAGATTCCGCTGAGAAAGAAGCAGAAAACTGCCGTGGCACGAAAAGCCCAGAAGAAAGCATGCCAGAGAAAGCTTTCCTGAAATAAAGCTCAGCTTCCCAAAGACGCATGGAGCCTTCCTTGCCACGCCAGCCACTGTTGTGTTGTTGGGAACTGCAGCCCCTCTTCCAATTTCACTTCCACAGCTCAGCTTCCTCCTCAGTGGGTTTTGTAGGTTGACTTCCACTGGATTTCACCACTTGCCGTTGAAAATACTGGGGGTGGGGGTCGCATCTGTCCTGAATACCTACAGGATTTTTCCCCTGCTCATTATTTCCTATGCAATACCACTAACAGCTATTTACATAGCATTTACATTTTAAGTCATCTACAGATACCTTAAAATACTCAGGAAGATATATGTGCACTATATATAATTGCTGTATCGTGTTCTATAAGGCATTTCAGCAGCCTCAGATTTGAGGATCCAAGGAAATTCCTGGATCCGAGCCCCCGTAGATACTGAAAAAGAATTGTGTAAACAGATTTTCTATTTGAATGAACATGCTTGCTTTATCTACACAAGTATATGAAAGGGATTAAATATTTAATATTTACGTAGTTGGCAAATAGAGAAATAATATCTTTATGAAGAGCTGTGCAAAAATAGCAGTTTCAAGAACTAGCAGTTTTAAAGTCATTTTCTTTCTTTCTTTTCTTTTTTAAAATTTCCTAAGAGGTAATCCAGTTTTGGGAAAGTGAAGAACGAATGGAATACAATGCGCTCTCTCCGGTCCCTTTATTCTTCACCAGCTCGTTTCCCTCCTCACCCGCTCAGACAGCCTGTCAGCCAGCGAACAGCCAGGCCAGGCCCAGAAACTGCCATCTACACAAGCCCTGAGTCAGACCAATTACAGGGTGTGGAGACACAGCAGGTTGTATGAAAATATTAAGTAGGCCGAATCATCCAGCGAAATGTAGGTTGCAATTTCTTTGTTAGTAAAAAAGACCATTTACTCAGTTATTCGTGTATCTGACATCTGTTCCTCAAGTTTGAGGCATTTTGATGGATCTTTTGAGTCTTATCAAAGTGAATCAGAGACATTGTCCTCTGGGGACTTATAGTCTACGAGGAACAGACACAAATCCTAATGTGGGGCCGCGGTGTTCTGTGTCACGCAAGACAAATTCCACAACAGCACTGTTTAAGTAGGCCACTGGTGCTCTGTGGATCTCCCACTGGCAAAATCATTCAGAAGCAGTGAAAAACATAACAATATTTCCTGGCCAGCGTTCAACTGCTGAGCTGGCCTGTGGCAGTATACATGGTTTAATTGCCCAAAACCATCTTTTAAGAACTCGAGGACACACACACACATGCGCACTTTTTAAAAAATCATATCCTAAAAAACAGGTTAAAGTCTGACTGGGATTAATGAACGTCATCTGCTACTGCAGAGGCAGGCAAAAATACCAAAGTGTGCCAAGAAACAAACACAAGGAGACATCACCCAGGGCTAGAGGTCAGGGTGGGTCAGCTACTCCTCAGGCAGCCAGAGCAGAGCACTGCTGATCAGGGTGATGAGGACAGGAACCTTTCTCCGAACGAGCTGAACGGCAGCACAGCAGTAAATCAGCAGAGGCACAAACAGCGGAGAGCGTTTTGAGCAGAAAAATGACCGCTTCCACAAAATCACAAGAAAAGGTTCCGTATGGTTAAATGGAATGGGCAAGGTGTGAATGCAGCTTTTGCCTAAGACATACACTCTGAGGAGCCAGAAAACACATTGGTTACAGGACCAAAGCAGTGCTATGGGGCATAGAAGTATGGGTAGCATGGTTTCATTGGTGACCAGAGAAGAAGAAAGGCACCCAGCCATCTTGACCTGTTCCTACGTGGTCTAGAATGTGGGAAGAAATCACCACTGCTGCCAGGTAAGTATCCTTTGAGGGCACTCACGAAACCAAAATGAGCTTGCTGCTTTTATAGCATAGGCTCGTCACTGCTTGTGGGTTTGGAGATGCCCCCTATCTAGACTACAATTCCCCTGAAGTATCTCATTACCAAGCACAGTACTGAACACATGGGTATTGCTAAAATTGTGCCTAAGAGACAGCACCTGGATGACTTCTTTGGTTTTGCTGTGGTTTAGGGTGCCGGACTGGGAGTAGCAAGACATTAGCTCAGAAAGAGTGAGCCCTAGTATTTACCCTCTGACCTGCATCTAAATCATTTCCCTTTTCCTCTTTTTGAAACAGGGTCTCACTATGTATTTGAGACTGACCTGGAGCTCACTACGTAGCCCAGGCTGGTCTGGAACTCACAGGGATCCTCCTGCCTCAGCCTCCCGAGTGCTGGGATCGCAGGCGTGCGCCACCACGCCTGGCTCATTTCCCTTTCTCTTGAGAATTCCCAGGGTCTTTTCACTTCTAAGTCACAGGAATCCCACCTCACCTTCCTCTAAACACAAGGCCACTCTGTGAGCTCCTCTTTTCCAACCTCCCTGCAGTGCAGTACAATCCTGGGACCTCTGTTCTGATACTAAACACACCCACTTGCTTGACTTTGCATAGAGAGCCTATGATTGAAGAACCAAGAACAGGGGAAACAACACTATGGTTTCGGTGATGGTTCTGAAATCCAGTATTTGGAGGCAGTGCCCAGGGCAACCATCTCAGTGCTGGGACCCCTTTGCTAGCTGTCAGTGTTAGTAGAAGTTATGTCCTCATCCAACGAGGTCCATGACATGATTGTGAGAATTAACTCTAGCAGCATAAGCTTTGGAACCTCCTTCTGCCCTCCTGGTAAATCTGTGATCTGCCCTATTTCATTTTTTTAAAAATTCCTCTTTTATTTAAACCCACAAATTTGTTTTTCTGGGTTACATCTTAGCAGACCAGGTTAGAACTTTCAAACATTATCTACAAGCATCAGGAAACGATTCTTGATTTTTAAAGAGATTGTGACCATTACAGAAGTGCTCTAGGATAAATAAAATTGCCAATGGTATGTAACACAAACTGGAGGAAAATAATTCTTGGAGAAGAGAGATTAAGTAGGAAGCTTCCGAACCTATACCAGTGAAAAGCAATCCAGTAATGAAGGATGGGGCTAGGAGATTTGTAAGTACTCAGATGGCAGGGAAGTAGAAATAGATTCCTTTTTCTGATTCCTTTTCTGGTTTGCCAAGGGACTTTGATCTAGGAAGGGAAAAGCTATGTTTCAGTAGAAAATTCATTGTCCAGATCACACTTTTCCAGGTCATCCAGTTCTAGTCTCTCACTGTTTTTGAGCTCTTACAAATCTGTGGGTTGTCAACAACTGATAGCAATTCCAAATAATTCTTGCCTATAGATAAGGAAATGTTGCCAACTGACTTTCTTCCTTATTGTGGAAGAGGCCAGCGGTGCCTCCATGTACACATGCATTTCAACCCATCTGATGTGTAAATGTAAACTGAAAAGAAAATCCCCCTTGAACGGGTTGAAACATCACAACCAATTTCACAACCAATTTCCTCATAAATTGCTTAAGTGAACTATTTAACTTGAGTTCACATTTATATTTGTATAAGGCTCAAGAATTAATCTTTTAAAAAAACTTAAGCCTTCATTTTCTTCTTGTCAGTGACTTCCTGAAGCAAAATCTCCTGATACAAAGACTGCTATTCCTATTATCAGATTGGCGTTTGCTGGTATTGTACATGTACATTTCCAGTCCATGAAAGAGTTTATCCTTAAAGAGGCTACAGAGTAGGAAAATTTTTCCTTCTACCTTCTCAAGTTCGGTGACTGATGATTGTGAATTAAATTGACAGATACCACTTAACAGGAGAAAAGATTCATTTTCACAGATGGAGGGCGTGGTACAGAAAACGTGAAACCCCAAAGGGGCAGTTAGATTTGGGGGCTTGTGTGCCATTTTAGCAATGGGCAATCAAATGTACACAAAAGGTGGGGAGGATCTTTTTCAAATGGAGGGGGAGTAAGAGATGGAGGCGGGGAAGAGGATCGGCAGTAAAAAACCAAAAAAGTATTGAAGAAAAAAAAGAAAGAGCTTTTGCAGATGGAAAGGGGACCAAGAGTTGAAAGAGGCAGAGAGGGTGTGTAAGGAGTTAGGTGTGAAGGAGAGTTAAGATATGTGGTGTCCATATACTGGCTTCCCACAAGGAATGTAAACATCACATACTGCAAATATTCATAAACACTAACTAGACACAAGGGAAAGCAGAGTTGAGCTTCTGTGAAGGCTGTGTTGTGGGAAGGTAATTAGGAAACGCACTATAAGTAAGAGTTTGCTACATAGACTTAATCACCGTAGGTATGTTATGTTCTAAGTCGTTGTCTTCCTAGCACCTCTACAAATGAGAATTTCCTGTACACATATAGATTGGCTGCTTTTAATCAGAACAGGGGAAGGCATAGGGCTTTTTCTGTGTTTGCTGATGTTTCTGAATTGCCTTCAGTTAAAAAGAATCCTTATGCTACAGACTATTTTTTTTAAGAGTAGGAAAACTTTATCTGAGGGAAAGAAAGCTTCTGTCTACGAGAGACAGAAGAGGAACCAGAAAGTGGGTCACCCATACAACAGACGTGTTTTGAGGAGGTCTCTTTGATCCCCTTCGCTCCCGTAACAGACGGTCATAGTCTGGGCGGCCTCCACGAGCCAGCTCATCCACACATGAAGTGCTTGTTGCTCGGTGTCTGAAATGTGCAGGACACAAGGGATGAAAGTCATCGTATATCCAACAGAGTCTTAAGCAGACCCCATCTACATGAGTTCATGAGTAGGCGCTCATGTTTATAGTGCCTGTCTCAGGGCAACTGCTTAGCAGTGGACTCCGAGGAAGTGGCCCAATTCCATAGTTACATTGCAATTTTGTCTTGTAGAATATTATTTAAAATAAGTGATCCATCAGCTGAAAGGAAGACGTCGCGAGTCCTCTAGCTATTTTACTGAAATAGGATTTGATTTGTGACACAATCATAAAATGTAGTCTAGCAGTGCAAGATCCCATTCTCTGGGTTCATGAATACTGATTTAGTTTTTACACAGACTTATCTTAGGAACTCA